ACAAAACCTTGTCGAAACGTTGTACATTTGCTGTTATGTTAAACTTATATTAAAGTTTTTCTTCATTACCCATTCAAGCCGTCTCCAACCATTATAGGTCTTATATATTTGCGTGTGATTAAAAATCGTTCGATAACCTTGATCAAAGTAAACGTTTTTGTTTTTTGTTTACAATACATCTTTCTGTGTGTGTGTGTATAATATTCGATACGTAAAGACAGAGGCTGGAAGAAAAATGTATAAAACTAACCATTTTGTAAAATTCCCGGAATTTCCCCCGACCAGTATTTTTGTTTTCTCTCTGCCTTTTCCCTGACTGGACGGAACCTACATGGTTACATTACCGAACATATCTTCAACGTTCTTAAACTCTACTTTACCATGCTTACATTTTGAGAACAAGTTGTTTAATCAATTTAAGGGATAAGGACAAATCTTACCGTGATCATGGCGAACATGGTTTGTGACACGTTTAAAGCATGTCTCCAGTTGTGATAGATGACAGGCCGGTAGTTTTTGCTGACACTTAAAACCCACCGACAAAGAACCTGAATGGAATATGATCATTTTTGTTATTTTTACTATAAAAAAGCCCATTAAACCTGAATGGAATATGATAATTTTTGTTATTTTTACTATAAAAAAGCCCATTAAACCCGAATGGAATATGATAATTTTTGTTATTTTTACTATAAAAAAGCCCATTAAACCTGAATGGAATATGATAATTTTTGTTATTTTTACTATAAAAAAGCCCATTAAACCTGAATGTTTATCTCTTTTAATATACAAGTGTTCTTTAAGTCATCAAGTCATACACACGTGTAATTTAAGTCTTATTTAAATCCAGACAGGTAAATACACTAACAGACAGGACGAATAGTAAAGTTACAACATTTATACCTGGTAAGGTATGTGAAACTTGGAAATTAAGTCCAGTTCTTTAAACATCCTTAGCGTGACTTGGTAGGTTTGTTCATTTGAAAGCGAAAAGTCACTAAAACTGAAGTTGTAGAGTTGGAACCTCTCTGCTGAAGGGATGGGTAAGTTCTAGAGATAGTAATATTAATAAAAACACAAGTTCTATGAAAATGTTCACACTTTTAAATGTAATTACACCAGTAGAATTTTCTTTGAGTCATTGACAATATTAATAAAAACACAAGTTCTATGAAAATCTTCACACTTCTAAGTGTAATTACACCAGTAGAATTTTCTTTGAGTCATTGACAATGTTAAAAAAAAACAATGATCTCACCTTTCGAAAGCTCGGTGACTATATACAGTATGATCCTAAACACATAAATTTGGGTCCATAAGTTTGGAGGTGGGAGGGAAGGAGGTGAGGATGGCTGCCATAACTTTGCGGGAGCAAATTCTATCAATATTGCTATTGATACGTGAAGTTGATAATAAAAGTGAGGGTGGAATGCCCTCGTTCAGTAAATAAAACCTATGAACTGTCCTGTCAAAAGTATCCAAACATATAATCATTGTTATTTTCTAATAACTTTGAAATTACCGACGGGAAAATATTATTTAAAAAAATCTCAAAATGAAAGAAATAATCGTGTTTTTGTGTGTATATTAATAGCTAAGAGATTTTATCGTGCTCAATATTGTGGTGTGGGTTGTTTTTGTGTGTATATTAATAGCTATAGATTTTATCGTGCTCAATATTGTGGTGTGGGTTGTTTTTTGTGTGTACATTAATAGCTAAGAGATTTTATCGTGCTCAGTATTGTGGTGTGGGTTGTTTTTGTGTGTATATTAATAGCAAAGAAATTTTACCGTGCCCAGTATTGTGGTGTGGGTTGTTTTTGTGTGTATATTAATAGCAAAGAGATTTTCTCGTGCCCAATATTGTGGTGTGGGTTGTTTTTGTGTGTATATTATTTTGATATAAATCTCTCCTTTACTGCTATATCTCCCGAATCCTATATATGTATATATATACATACACACACACACATATATATATTGGGATATGTTTTGCAGATACAATTATAATTAAGTGCAATATTGAAGAAAATTTCTAAGCGGCGTGAAAACATCTATAGAAAACATAGATATATATTTTAATGTGGCACTTCGACCCCGTGATCTACGGATTGCGAGTCGAGTACCATAACTATCAGGTTATGCCAGGCCACAATATATAAAGTTACAAGCGTCTAATGAATGTATTGCATTTAAGAAGGAAGAAAATGAATCTTTGTGGTTTTTTTTTTTTTAAGAATTTCGCGTAAAGCTACACAAGGGCTGGCTACGCATAGCCTTCCTTAATTGTGAACTAACAGCACACAACGTCAACTTTTGGCTCAACAAATGTGGGAGTTTACCATCACCCTGATAGCAAACCCAGGGATCCAAAGTGCGGAGCAAGTTTTTGCGACGACGGAGCGCGAGCCATAAGTCTTCGGGTTCACAATCCATACACGATAATAATTGACCACGCCCAGCCCTCAAAAGGAATCAACACGTCAAAAAAAATATACGCTCAAATTCTTTGTTAGTATAAAACACAATCTCTGACTCAAAGTATGACTATTTTGGTAGGTGGTGGGGTATCCCTTCAGATTTGGAAAATCGGAAGACTAGAGTGAGGGACGTGGCTGTCCAGGGATAATTTTCTCGTGCTGTTTTCTTTGATCCGAGTAGTCATTAAGGTGTTTATCCTACTAAAGTGGACCACCTGCTCGTCATGATCATGCTATTTCACCATTATTTTATTACTCCTCTTACCCTTGTAATATTCTTGTACTTTACTCAAGGTCTTCGTATTTTCCGTTTTCAACTGATCTTGAATCTTTCTCCTCCTTTACATCGTTGAAACTCGCACCACGCCGAATCGTCTTAATTTCCTTACCAATTTGAGGGAAAGTCGTGAATTTATCTCTCTTTTACGCAGACGTAATTCTCTTTGGGTGCTTACCAGCACCTTCTCTACCGAAGCTTCTTTGATCTCTCTTAGGGCTAACTTTTGGAGTAGCTGGGGTGCCATCATGATCGCATTCATACCTGCTACACTTGTAACATCTCGGACACTTTGATTCTTTACGTTTTCATATTAGCTTTGAATCCAAACTCGTTTGAATTTCGACAAGAACAGACATTCGGGGATTCTGGATCGTTGTCTCAGCAGTTCCTCACAGGTTTCACAAAGAAGTTTGGGAATGGCGAGTGTTCCATAGAAAATCTACTAGAAAAATGGTATGACCATGGTCTGACGAAGGGTAAAAAAATCAACCAGTTCCACTGAAAAAAAACAATCATAACTTCTTTGGATATTATCAAATTATAGATCGGCGTACACCTCTGAATTCCTCATAAAATAATTCATATTCCTAGAGATTTGAAAGAAAGAAAGACTAAATACCGAATATGGTTCCAGCCAAGTGCCTTACCATTTCTGCTGCCATTGAGTCAGAGATTATATGTTAATTATTATGGGTACAGAAACAAAGACATATATATATTCCAGGATCAATCTTGATTTTATCGCAAAAATATACCTTTCAGGAGCATTGCAAAATAGTGTGCATGCGAGTGCGCACGTGTATGTGTGTTTAACACGCGTATTTCGCATTAATAATTTGAAACTTCCTTGAATTATTCACTTTCAAACTCTTCCTATTTCGAATTGTAATAAGTAAACGACAATCTCAAGAGACTAAAAGCGCAGGAAATGTTACACGACTTATTTTAATTTCAGTGAATTTGCTCTACAAGCGAGAAACTTTTCTGATCAAGTGGTCTATTTCTCGTATATTTCTTCTTACAGAAAACCTTGAAAGAACTGTTAGTTTTCAACCTGTCGGAGTTAAGGTTATATAAAACCACTGGATAGACTATAATACCGTTTCGTCGTATAACGGGATTAGAAGAAATATTAGTTTAAATCATCCAAATTGTTTGTTTGTTTCTGAATTTCGCGCAAAGCTACACGAGGGCTATCTGCGTTAGCCGTCCATAATTTAGCAGTGTAAGACTAGAGAGAAGGCAGCTAGTCATCACCACCCACCGCCAACTCTTGGGCTACTCTTTTACCAACGAATAGTGGGATTGACCGTCACATTATAACGCCCCCACGGCTGAAAGGGCGAGCATGTTTGGTGTGACAGGGATTCGAACCCGCGACCCTCAGATTGCGAGTCGAGCACCCTAACCACCTGGCTCGAACCCGCGACCCTCAGATTGCGAGTCGAGCACCCTAACCACCTGGCCATGCCGGGCCGATCACCCAAATGAAGTTAGTGTTTTAGTTACTGTCTTCCACATACCCAGGTGGAAACTATCGTACGTTCTCCTTTCCCAACACATGTATTAGAACACACGTGGCTATATAGATGTCAACATAACAAAAATTCCTTCGAGAAGGTTTCCGACATTTTATCAAGAAATTCAGGCTCCGTCATAATGTTATCGCGCATGAACAAAACAATAGTTTCTCAAAATGTCTTGAAATTTGAACAAAACAAAAACGAACACCAGAGCTTTCAAAAAGTGGAACTGCCTTCATCAGAGGCAAAAGGCCTTTATCCCAGCTAAGACAGATCCCCCTGTCTAAAACGGTATATATAAGACTTAATGGAGTTTTTAAAAAATGTAATTTACCAATCTACTTGATCCAAAATTGTTGATTTTTACGACCATGGACAAGTGTTTTAATTTATATCCGAGTGAATTAGAAAAAGCTCTTGAAAAAACAAAGAATTGACTACACTTATATCTACAGCGAAATCGCAGATACTGTCAATCACGCACGTTCTCGTTAGGAGTTTAGCAACATTCTAATGTTGTTGTTCTACGTCTACATTGTACATGTGTGTATTACAAGATTACCATTGATCTCGTTCTCCATGTCACTAAGAGCCTGAGTTGGCCGTCAAAGAGGGACTTGTCGCAAATCATGGTGCTTGTTTGATTAAGGATTATATTTTAAATTACCATTACCTTTATTTGGATAACAAGCAGTATATATTAATATAAATCTCATATAGCAATACAACCTGTGTTAACCCTCAAATTACGGATTTGTTTTTATATCATCCACATATAACATCATCCTTCTATAAAGATTATCCGTTGTTTCTTAGCATCCATCACCCAGAATTACTGGCTAGCTCGTTTACCGCAATTTTTGATATTGTAACTGGAAACTATCCAACGATGTACAATGGCCATTTTGCTATATTTAGCATTTTTACCCAAGAAGAAATATGAAAAATACCGTGAAATAGGGCATATTTTATATACTTTTGGCTTTCAATTTAAAAAACACAGGTACTTGATCACATAAATGTATCAATTATTACCTTCCACAAATGTAATTAGCATTTGATGAGGTTATTAAGGATTTAATAACAAAAGAAAAAAGGAAAGGAACATTGTTCTTTATAAACAACTTTTGCTTCCTGAAAGGATATCTCCAACTAGTATTGAGCGGTTTTAACGTTTACACCTTCTTATAGCACTCAGTGTAAAGGAAATATTGGCAAACAAAAAAATAGGTGAAATTACCCATTTTCTATGTAAAATACATAGACAGTTCCAGCAGTGGGATTTTTTTTTAAATGCCATGAATACTTCTAACTAATGGTGAAATTACCCATTTTCTATGTAAAATACATAGACAATTCCAGAAGTGGGATTAGTTAGAAGTATTCATGGCATTTAAAAAAAAATGGTGAAATTCGTGTGCGCTCGAACATTTCAGTGCATAAATGGTTTAGAAAAATGCATTTAAAAAGTCGAAGAGATCCTTATGGACACCATCAGCAGTAATAGGATTAAATCAGATGCTTCCTGTTGTCTGTTATTCTGAGCTGACTTGAATACGTTATCAGTACGGTAGTACTTTTTTATATCGTTTATTGAGTATTTAGTTATTTACCTTTTTCTGTTTTTTGTTTCTTTTTTTTTACATTCCAAAATTTTTCTCATCCCAGATAAAAAAAAGTAGCTCTGACGGATCTGTTTTACCTTCTAATTTTTTTTTTTCTGAAAACAAGTAGTTGAGGAATTAGATTTTATAGGAAATGCATATCTCTAGAAAGTCTTTTACTCTTCAGTTACTGATTACACACACTGATTACAATTTACTTAGTTAAAAATTGATAAAAACCCTATAACCCGAGCGCTTTCGAAAGGTGGACCTTTCTTCTTCAGGTCCACCTTTCGAAAGTGCTCGAGTTATGGGTTTTTTATCATTTTGTATTAATACTTCTTGAACCTACGTGTTTTTTCTGACATCATTAACTTTACTAAGTTCATACACACATGTGCACGTGATTCTGAGTTATAGCCATCATCAGGAAGTTTCACATCTAGTACAAACTTAGATTAAGATCACACACAACTCGTCCGCTTTAATCGACGATTCTTCAATGTGGTCGATGATAGGTTCTATTGAAACTATTTTGTGAGGATGACAAACTAAGCTTAGTATACTCAATAATACTGTTATATCGAGTTTTAGAATAAAGCATTAAGCCTAATGCCTCGGATGTATTTCACAATGCCCATAATCTATCTTAGTCATATTACATTTAAACTACGCTATGATTATTTTGAGTATTAGCTGCTTCTTGTGGCCCAGGCCCCGAATCTTTTCGATAGCAGCTATCGATGCCCCATGCAGTTAAGAGAATGCCAATAACGTTATGTTACCAAACATGGTGACTTAATGCCCTGAATTTGAACAGTCAAATTCTAGTTGCT